ACCCTCGCACTGAGCATGACTTGATTGGCGACCTTGAAGAAGCTTTTGCTAATTGGTATAAACTGAAAAAGGGAGAGGACGTTGCAGACGTCTGCGGCCACATATGCATGCGCCTTGGCAGGTGCGACAAGGCTCTCAAGTTCCTCCAGGTGAGTCTACAGCTTGACGTTGTAGTACAGGTTTGTTTGCCGTTGAGCGTATACTCTGAAACTGATTTGGAATTTCAGTGTTCTGTGGCGTGTGGTCGTGCCACTGTCTGTTGTTTTAGGCGAGCGCGGACCTGGAGCCTGAGCGCACTCATCCGTCGACCTACGTTAACCTCGCAAGCTGCCACAAGGTCGAAGGCAAACTAGAGGCAGGCATCAAATGCTGTGAAAAGGCTCTCCAGATCGACCCCAACTACACGCAAGCTATTCAGATGCTGCGCTCGCTGAACATGTGCATTAACCCCGTAAAAGTTGCCCTCATCGGCCTTGGCTACTGGACGCAGTAAGCCCTGTTACATCTTGAAGAAACAACTTGTGCGCGACGCGTTTTGCCCTAGCTTGACTGCTGCTGGATCATAGCTCAGTAGCAGGTATTGTCCTTATATTTGATATGCCTGAGTTAGTGTGTTGATTATGTACCCGCCCTTTGTCTCAGATATGAAGCGCTTCCTTTACTCCGTCGGGACACACGACTAAAGATCGTCGCCGCGTTTGCATTTAAGCAGGAGGACGTGGCTCCATTGGTTGAGAAGGCAGAGTTGCAAGGAGTCGAGCTTTACAGCGGGTCTCAAGGGCTATCATCTTTGTTGGAGAGGTCAGACATTCAGGCGCTTGTGGTCGACGTCCACATGCAGCTAATGGTAAGCAAAACACTTTGGAGCTCTCCTCATTCAGATAAAATAGGCAGTATGGTTTTTGTCTCAGCTGTGCAACTGTAGTGTTTCGATTCAAAGCCAAATTTGGAGTGAAATGTCCCTGCAGATGTCTTTGCTCCCCCGCGTGTTCGCCGCGGGCAAGCACCTCTTGACTCGGTCTCCTTTGCAGATGAGCCTCTCCTCGGCTGCTGCGCTTCTAGACATGTACAAGCCTTACTGCAACTCAGTAGTATGGCATGCAGTTGAGAACAACCGACAAGAAGAAGCGTTTGTGGAAGCAGCTGCCAAGCTTGCAACCTTGGGGCGAGTGACTTCGGTGTCCTTTAGATGCGGAACGGACACTGCTCTGAAGTACAAATTCTCAACTGCGCCATACGACATCAAGCGTAAGCGCCCTAACATTTGGTGCAGTCCTTCTCCACGGACGCACGCAAACTGGACCAAATTTGCGTGCTTACTGCATGCACCGACGGGCACTCTTAAGAAAAGTATTTTGAAAGCGACTTACTGTCAAGTGACGAATTTTGAGTGCATGTTCTGGGTTTCAGACCACATGGCGCTCGATCTGCTGCGCTGTGTGACGGCTCTCCGTCAAATAACGGGTCTCCAGATGAGCTCAGTGTCTGCAGTGGCAAAGGGAGACCATGCTCCCTGCTGCGGCAGTCCCTCTAGCCAGCTCGAGGATAAGCCAGACAAAATTAAAAATACGAGACTTCGCCGCGAATATGCAAGGTTGAGCGGGTGGCTGACCTTCGTGAATCCCAGTTCACATCAAAGTGAGTGGGGTGTTCTTTAGATGCATGGATGTGCACACGAATGAATACGCGTGGCAAGCGCGCTTGCCTACATATAGTTTCGTGATATCACCTCACCTAGCCTTGCCTGCATTCCTGTTTTCTTCGTGGTTGTGACTTACAGCAGAAGTGTTATTCTGACTACCTGACTACCTTAGGAAGGCCCAAACTTGGATTGGGTAATCGCCTCTGTGGCTTGTTCAGGTGTCCTCGGGTCCTTTGTAATCAGCCACTGTGTAGGCGACAATTCACTGACCTATAGGATCAATTGCTTGAGAGGCACAATGAAACTGACAAAGGCATCGTCTTGTACGTCTTGCTTCTTTCTTTGAAGCAAAGAATTGCACTGATTTAACATAATTATTGCTTCTTCTGTTGAAGCCCAAACAGAGTCATATGTATGGCAGGAGAACTTTCGAGGCTTGGCTAACCGAGTAGCTTCAACGCGGTGATAATGTCAAATTAAGTGATGAAATGGAAATCCAAATTACTTTGCGGCTTCATTGCAGGTTGGCGCATCGACATTATGGGCGAGAAAGTCCCTGGCGGCACGAGCTTTGCTGTACAGAGCATTGGGCACCAGAACTGCCACGATGCCTTCGCAGAAGAGCTCTATGAGAAGCTCCGGTCCACTGAGAAAAGTATAGGGGGAGCAAGTTCTGACGAAGGACCGACACTGGTCGATATATCCATCAACGGGGCACTCGCTGATTCCGCAATCGTTGAGGGCATACTCGCATCTATGCAGGTATGGAAATGTAGGTCTGTATGCGGCTTCTTCCCGTTTGTGTGCTTTTCTCCGAATCCATATGCACGAAAATATCCTTTGATACCTGAGGATGATGCCTTGAATTGTTATGCTACAGAACGATGGGGCTCCAGCTCGTTTCGGCAGCCCTGTATCTGAAGCTGTCGAAGATCACAAAAAGATGGACAAAAAATCAGCTTCTCTCCGGAGCGTGCATTGCTGTGATTCTACAACGGTGGCTTGATATCTTGGCAACTTGTCACACACAAGGGAGGCTCCACGAGACTTCAGAAGACCGTCATAACGACCCCGCGACTGACATAGTCTATCACTTTTTCCTCCAAAGAGAGGCAGGCAGGACTTAATCACATACAGCACTAGTCTCTTGTCTCCGGTTTAGGCTATTTGTGGCCTGTCTTTTGCTATTTTTTGTGGCTCCATGCCACAGTGTAGCGTGCGAGAGCGCTGTAAACCTTAAAAGGGTAGTCTTTGTCTCGACCGCCAATTCTTCAGTTAGAACTTGTCGTTTCGGAGCGTAGCTATTTATCGCGTTACTGGATACCTATGTGTTTTGGATGGAGCTCAACTGCCTTTCTAGCGACACTCACGCAGACGCAGCGTGCGCTCGTGCGCTGGACTTTTGGGTTCCATATTTCCATATGCTTCTTGGTGATCTACAACTTTGCCGCGCAGCCAATTAGTCGCACTGTAGAGGAGTTTACGACAGCTGGAGTGGTCAAGAGACGAATGAAGCAGGCTTCTGCATTAGCGCTTCTGTCGGCCTTAGTACTTGATGCTATTCAGCGAAGGGTCGCAGCTGGCTTCAAGCTAGAGAGGAACCACCTTTCTGTCGAAGGGCCATTACGCCGTGCACGTAGTGCTATAGGTCCAATTCGTTGGCTACCGAGGGATTCCTTGCTAGTTAAGGGATCGATTTTCCGCATCTGCTCAAGTGTACCGAGCTCCCAGTACTTTCGCCAGCGAGCACATCACTGAGAAGTTTTTACTGTCCACAAATAAAACCAGGACTTCTTATTTTTGACGAAGTTAAGAAGCAGGAATTATAGCATTCCATCGGCGACTACTCGCGTGCGTCTGTGAAGGCTCCTGTTGAAGGTTTCTGCATCAAAGGGGTATGGCGCGCTTCCCCTCGTTTTGCTCAAGGTTTTCTGACTTTGTATAGGAACAAATTTGCAGTTCGCACGCCATGGAAGCACAGCAATGTCACCATTTTTATCTTTGCCCCTTAGGGAAACGTGGGAAGCCAATACTCAAGAGTACGATGACGGAGTCTCATGGCATTTTCGATCATTCTGGTAGTCAGAGGCAACTTGAACAGAGCAACTTGTAAATGTTTGCTCCAAAAACTTTTGCGCCAAGGGGTGTAATGAAGAGATGAACACATGAGTCTCACTCGATATTTATGTGAATAAAAGGCCCTCCTCCAAAATTTTATGATTGTGCGGTGTTCAGCGAATTGCCGAAGCATAGTCAGGAACAGAGCAACAACTCGCTTCACGTTCCACTAGAAACGAGAAACAGAAAATACAGGGACTTAACGCAACAAGACGCAGGAAGTACATTCCACGTCGTGCTGCTTTGTATGTTACGCTGATGGTTGGTCGGTGAAAGATGCCTTCGAGTGGTCGTGAGTTCCTTAAACGCGATACGTCCATGTAAGCTGAGGCTGCAGCCTTTCCGTAAGAGCTGCCAACAGGCTATTGTTGCACCCGTGGGTTTAGCTAAAACGCTTAGTTTTAAGCGTTGGTGTAGTTGCTGCCACGGGGGGATGCACGGGCTACCAAAAGACAAGCAGGTATAGCAGCTTCATTGAAGCAAGATAGTGCTCATGCTGCTTATCTTTGAGCTGAAAATGGAAATGTTCCGAGTGTTTTGTTGCGTCGTCTAACACAACAAGCACCATTGCAGGGGAACTATCATCCGCCCTTAAGGTAAACAGTAGCCCCACCAGAAGGACTCCTGGAATGCTCCCGTGACAACACTAAGCTGGCACCGTTCCTAGTTTTACACTTGCGTTGAAGGAATATTCATACTTTTCCTTGTACCTGCCTTCGCTGACAAATTGCAACTGTGTCACCTCGCCTAAACTGCGTTCATTCAGGACCCACTGCAAGGGCGATCTAATTTCTGTCTGAAAAAATAAGTTTTTCTCTTGAAAGCAACCGCCATGCTTTTTGCTTTACTTGTTTCTGCAGGGCTTCTGTATCTATATATTGTACGTATCTGCCCCCCTCCCACACCCTCGCCCCCACCAACTAGCCAAATGGCACCTCGAGCATCTTAAACCCCGCCAGAAGTGTCATTTGTGAGTGACTAGAACCAATTCCGGATGCTGAACAACAGATCCTGTAGACTTAGACTAAATGTGTACAGCCATCAGGACACAGAAAAGGAAAGAGGGAAGGATTTGTGAAGGAGTTCCAGTAGCTTTCAGTCCCAACTCAGCCTGTTGGGTTCTTTACACTGCGGTGAGTGCACAGCGAGTAGCACACAGACCGCAATAACTTAGCTAAGTCCGAAGAACTTCATTGCGGGAGAAAAAAATGGCTCAGATCACAGGAAATGCCCTTCAGTTCTACGAGGTTGCGCTCCACCAGATGGTGAAACCGAGGGAAAGCAGAACGAGGAAGAGAGAACAATTGAACAGACACCTGAAAGCCCACAGGCCCACAAACTGAGGGTGCGAATGATGAGATATCAACGCCTCTGCTGTATCTACGCTAGAAACTGTTAGACTGAATGCATGCAATGCATGCACCTTCGCGAAGTCAAACAATTCGACACAAAAGACAGACAAGCCTTCATAAGGGCGCTACAGGTAACAAGCCCCACCGCCTGCACTTTCTTCTTCTCTCTGCACGCACAGCAATTGCCATTTCTCGAGCTGCCCTCACCGACTCTTGGCGAACTCCTTCAAGGTTTCGGTCCACAACTTCTGCAGCAGCAATTGTCACAAGTGAAAAGATTTGAAGACATTGACCAACACATTTATACCAATAAACGTACATGCGCAAGTGCACAAGCATGCATAAACAAACAAAAGATAGAACGCAGCTGAAGTCTAGAGCGCTGCACTCTCTAGAGGCAGGCAGAAGACTTGTGCTTTCTTCTGGCCTTCTTCTCAGCAGCACACTTTTATGGTAAACTCAAGTTGGCTTCAGTTTACTATGAAAGTGTGCTGCTGAGAACTCAGCATCAGCAAAGTACTTCAATACTGGGGCATGATGATTTCAAAAGCAACACAAGCAGCAAAGATGCTTCTTTTATTTCTAGTGAAGTAACTTTACTGTGTTTTGGATTTGGTCAAACAACGACGAGCACATGATGATGCGAAGCGAACAAACAAGCGAAACAATAAAACAATCTCAAACTGCTATAAAATGAACAAATGTGTAAAGGCATACCAAGTCGGCTCCCCTGTTCATCCGTGAAGAAAGCCATTTGTTGGTAAAGTGACTGAATGCCTGCAAACCGCACACCGCGTAGCATGCAGCGCATGCTTCGGTGTACGTACACCCTGTTTATGACACTTTGGCAAGAATATAAGGGGATATGTGTGCACACTTTTTATTTCTCGGTGGATCCTCGCGAGATTGTCCCTCTTCTCCTGCACCAGTGAAGCAGCAATTTTGCTGTCGGGGATAAATATGGGGACCGACCTAAAGACATAGATAAACATAAACAGAAAGTGAAATTAAAAACAAAAGAAACGAAACAATGAAAGAATACTTCAAGAAAAAACGCGAAATATGACAAGGAAAATTAAAACTTCTGATTTTGCCAATGCATCTTACGTTCTTGCCTGAGCCAGCTGGTGCTGCAGCTGCAGGGGAGCTGGACATACACCGTACTGGGGCCACAGCTGCGACGTCGCGTGCAGGTGCACGTGCTGGGCTGCTGCCGCTGTCTGCTGATCGGCAGCAGCAGCAGCAGCAGCAGCAGCAGCAGCAGCGCCCCTCTTCGCTCCATCGTTCACTTCCCTCGCGCCGTGAGCAGCTGCTGCAGTTGTTCGAGCAGAGCCCCTGAGGTGGCCAGCAGCAGCTGCAGCAGCAGCAGCTGCTGCTGCTGCTTCTGGGGCTGCTGCCGCCCCTGGGCCATATGCAGCAGGAGGGTCTTGGCGAATATATGGCTGCGGCTGCAGGCTGCTGTGTGCGCCTTTCTGCTGCTCCTGTATGGCTGCATCATCCATATTCAGCAGCAGCAGCTCTTGCTGCTGCTGCTGCAGACAGAGCTCTTCTCCCTCCGCTATATCTCGCAGCTGCCGCAGCAGCTGCTCCGCAGCACCCACGAGCTGCTTGTAGTGCATCCGCCGTTGCTGCTTCTCCCTAAGCGAAGCAGCAGCACTGACATGAAGCTGCAGCTGCCGCAAAGCGCTCCTCAAGTTGTCAGCTGCTGCCCTTGCAGCCACAAACTCCTGCTGCAGCTGCTGGTGCTGCTGGTGCTGCTGCAGCTGCTCCTCAAACACCCCGCTTGACAGCAGACGGCGAGGCTCCGGGCGTGCGCAGTGCTGCTGCAGCGACTGCAGCGCAGCGACGTGTCGCCGCAGCAGCTGCTGCAGCTGCTGCGCCTTGCGGGCATCTTCAAGGTAGGCACTGTCAGCAGCAGCCGTGGCTGCGGCTGCTGCATGCAGCTCCGCGAACGACATGGCGGCAGCAACAACCCCACGCTCCTGGGCTGCCTATACACCTGAATACAAGCCTTCAATCAGCTGCTGCTGCTGCAGTTGCTGCTGCCGAAAAGCATTGTTTCTTTCGCCTACGGGGCCCCAGAGCTGTCCCCGCCGAGCTCTGCTGCTGAAGCCACACAGCGCTGCATTGCGATGGCTCTCCCATGCAGTTTGTGCCTGTGGCCCCTCAGCAGGTGTTGGGGCCTGCAGCCTCAGCTGCAGCAGGGAAGCTCTCTGACTCAGAGCGGCCCCTAGTCTGATGCTGCAGCAACAGTAACAATCCTGGCGCCCCTAGACTCTTCGTCTGGATGGTCCGAAGAGGCAAGACTAAAGCTGAAAGATCATGGGGCCCTACAGCGGAGCTTGTCCGTGGGCGCGTCCTGCTGCTGCTCCCGCTGCTGCTGCTGCAGTCGCGGGCACTCAGCTGGAGATGTACTGCTTGTTTCGTCTAAAGTTTAAAATTAACCAAGTATTTGAAAAGTGTTTAATCTTCAGTCAGTGCACAACAGGATAGAAGTAGGCAGAAGCTGACGCTCATTCAATTGCAATGAGGCAAGGAACCCCGCACACAGCCGACACCTGTCGACTTGTGCATTTTTTCTCGTGTCAATCATGAATTCTTGAAATAACAGAATAATGTGCTAAGCAATGTTTCTGTATGTCTTTATTGCACGTCGAAGGTTGTTTTGGTGTACTTATCGCCACGGCCAGCGAAGCCTGCTGGAGGCTGAGGTACAAAGTGTGACGGAAGTTTCGATTGTTTCCTCATGTGTGGCATCTTCACTGCTATCCTCTGCATTTCCTCTATAAAAAACCGCTAAACACTTCTATAGGAGCAGACAATTCAGTTCAATTGCATCGAAGACCAACAACTGCAGGAGTTGAAATGGGACAGGACCACGCGCCGGGGTGGTATCCACGCGCCGCAACAATGCCTTTCAGTTGCAGTTCCACGCGCCGCAACAATGCCTTTCAGTTGCAGTTCCGTTGCAGTTTCTAAGAGAACCAAAAAGCACGCAACGGATGCCTCAACCTCAATGTAGTCTTCTTGTCCCTATATGTGTGTGGTGGACCCGCCACCACTGACACTGTTTCAGTAGCAACACAAACGAGGGAATAAACCCTCTACAGGCTTCTGCACACAAGCAACAGCCTGTGGAGCATATATTTAAGCATAAATGTTTGCAAGCAAGACTGCTCTTCCACCTTCAGGGACCGCTGCGACAGTTACCACAAAACGCGTAACGCAGAGCTCAACACTGGAATATACTGAAGGAAAGTATACTTCGAGATCTTCCTAGAATATCCCCGTTAGTCTGGGGTGTAGGGCTTCTTAGACAGTACTCCCTAGCTATAGACAGAGGTGAACTCATCAGGCAGAGGATATATACATGTTCCATGAACCATTAAATGGGTACCCTTGAGGTAACTCAGCCTCTGTAAACTAAGATGGCCCATCAATGTGGCTCTTTGTCTCGGGCTTTTCATAGTGGCTAAGTGGATCTCAAGTAATCTTCACTCTGAATGTGACTAAGTACCCTTTGGGAGTCTCGCGCGGGAATTGCACAGAGAGGCTAATGACTATAGCATGTGGCGGAGCGAAAGACAGAACAAACAAAAAACAGTTGGGTAGAGAAACGAAAAAGGCAAACCCACAGACATCTGACAAATCAGCAACCGCACCATGCGCTGAGTTTGCCAAGTAAAGGAGGCGGATCAGCAAGAAGACAGCGACCGCCAAATAGGGGAAAAGACAAAGAGGGAAAGATATTCTTCCTCTCTATTAACCTCCACTGCTCGTTGAAATGAGCCACATGGGTGGTTGCCTTTCTGCATTGAGGACAGCTGAGCATGCGTAGTTGTCTTGAAATGTTGATTGTTGTCCCCCTCAGCTTTCAAATTTGCCATCGGATTCTTTTTTATTAATTCTCCAGCTCGCTCAGGTCCTCTGCCCCAGAGGCAAGTGTCTTTACAGGACCCTTGTTGCTGCCTTCTCTGGAGCCGGATATCTTAGCACGTTTTCCTGTAGTCTGCGTGTGCACACGAAGATCCCTTCTGGAGCTGCAGAAGTTGCTGCCTGTGCTGCTGCAGCAAGGAATAGTAGCTGCTGCAGCAGCAAACGCTGCACCACTCCCCGCCCCTCACTGACGCCCTGAGAACTACAGCTTCCCAGTCAGTCTGACACGGCTCAACTACCTGTCTGTTGCCCGTCAGTATCTGTCAAGTTTTGCTCCTCAGCAGAGCCACTACGCTCACCAAACCTGCAGTGACTTGGAGGTGCGCTGCCGAGCAGCAGCAGCGCGGCTGCAGCTGTTTCTGCAGCCGCTGCAGGTCACTCTGTAGGTGCTGCAGATGTTGCTGCAGCTGCTGCAGCTGCTACTGCAACTGGTGGTGTTGCTGCAGCTGCTGCAGGTGTTGGTGTAGCTGCTGCAGCTGACGCAGCCGCTGGAGTGTCAGCAAGTCTTCCCAGCAATGCAGACGTGAAGGAGGAGTCGCCTGAAGGTGGCTTTGGGGCCAATGCTGGGCATGATGAGTTTGGCCAGGGCCTGGCTGAGGTACTGGAGGACTTCGTCTTGGCCGGAAAGCTTGAGAGTGGTGTCTTTGAGGGGCCCCGTGTCTTGGTCGAGGAGGCCCCCCCTGCGGCCGTGGGGGTAAGTGCCCAGCCTGCGCAGCAGCTTGGGCACGTCTGCAGTCCGCAGCGTGACCTGCACCTCCTGCTGCACAAAAGACCGCCAAAACGTCGTGACCTTCTCCTCCACTATCCCCACAACTGCCTGCACCCCCCCTCTTTCTGGGTGGCTGTTCACGTACGCCACAGTGGCCTGCAGCGCCCGCGCCGCTGGGATCTGCCACACGCCCCTGCTCACGCGCGCCTGCACCTGCACCACTCCGAACTCCCCCCTACGCGCACCCACAAACACCCATGGAATGGCCTCTATGCAGGCAACAGCAGCAGCAGCTCCGGCAATAGCTGCGGTGATAACTGCAGCAGTAGCAGCAGCAGCAGAACTGCACCAGCAGCAGAAGTTTCAGCAGCTTCAGGAGCTGCGGCAACAGCTGCGGTAAGAACTGCAGCACAAGCTGTGGCAGCAAAGGGGCAGCAAACCTCTGGAGCGCTCCAGCGGCCACCCGAAGGGGCCCATAAAGCGTCCAGAGAGATAAAAAAAGATGGACATAAAAACAAACAAGCAACAGAAAAGAAATGCCCATTCAAATCCAGCAGCTCCAATGCTGTTCCTCCAGCGTATCATCTAAACTTCTGCTACAATACCCAGACACGGACTAGCAAAATGATCCATACACGACACAGCGACCTTGCATAGACGCAAGCATGCATGTATGCATGCATGCATGCATGCATGCGCGTTCATGGTTGCATGCATGTTGGCGGACCTGAAAAGGGGCGAAGGCGGCAATGGGGGCAGCTTGGCGGGTTCGAAGGAAACAGACACTGGAATGGTGTCGAACACCATGGGCTCTCTGAAGAAAAACCAAAAAAAGGAAAAAAGTCTCGAAGATATTTATTTCTGAAGTCCTGGAAGCCCTCAAAAGCGCATGCAAACCCCGGCTGGGAGAACCCCGCGCCCCACGGGCGCGGCCGCTGCTGCCTGGGGTGTACGTACACCCGGAAGAAGACAGAGTAGAAAGGAAGCTCCGCCTCCATTTGCCGCCAAAGGGCTGCCACTTCTTGAGAAGGAGCGCTGAAAGAACTGCACAGCTTCTCCGCCACATCCAGCTTGCGCAGCACTTCCTGCGGTCCCGGCACGGGGCGCGGAATGTCGCCTGGAAACACAACCCCACCGATCTGCTGCAGTTCCTTAGCAGCAGCCAGCAGCAGCTAGCAGCAGCGCTGGGCAAACAGCAGCAGCAAAGGCCCGCAGCAGCGCAGTAAGTGCCCGCGGTGACCCGGCTACAACAACCCCACAATTCGCCGCGGGGCACTAGGAGGAGCAGCAGCAGCACCAGCAGCAGCACAAGGACCGTAGCCTCGAAAGCCTCGAAAGGCTGCGCAGCAGCAGCAGAGTTGGCGCAAAGAAGGAGGCAACTGAGAGCCCCCAAGGCGGAAGAAGCAGCAGCAAGAAAAGAGCCACAAAAACTAGCCACACAGACGAAGAAACACTGCATGCATGCAACTGCAGCAAAAGGGGCCAAAGAAGAAGTAGTGCATGCATGCAGCTGCAGCAAATGGTCAGGGAAGGAAATGCTGCATGCATGCAGCTGCAGCAAAGGGCCAGAAAGAAATGCTGCATGCATACAGCTGCAACAAAAATGGCCGAAAAAGAAGTGCTGCATGCGTGCAGCGGCAGCAAAAAGAGCCAAAAGAGAGGCATTGCACGCATGCAGCAGGGGCAGGGCCCCGGGGCCCCACCCTTTCGGTCTCCGACGTAGACAATGAGCACGGCCTTGCGGGCCAGCTGGCCTGCGACCATACTGCGCAAATAAGACTTGGTGAGTTGGTCGAATTTTTTGACAACTTCGGCTCCAAAAAAAGGACTTCTGGCCACCACTAGGGGCTCCTGAGAAGGGGGAGAAACTGCAGGCAGCAGCCGGCCTTCTGTCAGGCTTTGAAGCTGCGACTTCAGCCTTTCTTCTGTCTCATCGGGGGCCCCTGCTGCTGCTGCGGGGGCCCTCGGGGGCTCGGAGCTTTGCCCGGGGGCCTCCAGGCCGGGCCCCGGGGTTGCAGCAGCAGGGGGCCCCTGCGCCGGGCCCTGGGGCTGGGGCTGGGGGCCCCCCGGCGGGGGCGGGGGGGGGCCCCATGAGACCCTGAG